ATAACAATAATAATAATAATAATAATAATAATAATAATAATAATAATAATAATAATAATAATAATAATAATAATCATAATAATAATAATAATAATAATAATAATAATAATAATAATAATAATAATAATAATAATAATAAATATTAATTGGTGGCAGTTAAATTTGAAATCCGTAGAATTGTTTTTTAGAAGTCGACTTCAGCAACTAAGAGGGTGTTTGGCTAAGCTTATAAGATGTTAAAAGGAGCTTATAAGATGTTTTAGAGCTTATAAGCTCTTCCAAAGTGTTTGGTAAATTTTTAGAAAAAGATCTTAATTTTTTTTTAAATAAGCTGTTGGAGAGCAAATAAGATCTTTTTAAATAAGTACCTCTACCCCACCTTTTTATTTAAGATCTTTTAATGAGTAAAAATAGGAAATAAGCCCATTATCCAAACACTCTAAAAAATAATCATAAAAATAAGATGTAACAGCTTATCAGCTCTTATAACATCTTATAAGACGTAAGAGCTTATCAGCTGTTTAAAATAAGTTTAGCCAAACACCCTCTAAATAGATTGTTCGGAATTATAATTGAAAATTAGAATTGTAGAAAAGGTACATATTTTTAACTTAAAATAAATTAATTACAAGAGAGGAAATGGAACTTCTAGAAACCAACCACCAGTTGGTGTGGATGTGATTTTGCCTTATTTTAAGGGGTAATATAGTCTTTCACGTTTATAGTTAATGGTGTTCATAGAAGCTATCTTAATCAAACCTCAAGGGGGTAATCTGCCTAATTTGATCACAAACGGGTCATGTATCAAATGGTGAAACTACAAGGGGTTAAGTGCTATCTACCTTAAATAAATTAGTACTAATTATACATGTCTTTCCACTTGGCAATTTGCCATATTTCCTCTAATTTTACACTCAAGAGGAGATTAGTAAGATAAAGAGACACTTTTCATCTTTTTTCTTCCAACACCAAGCCATTTACTTGTTTCTTCCTCCTCTCTCCACCGAAACCATCACCACCACCATCGGCCTTCTTCTTCTTCCACCTCAACTCCCATTTTCAAGAAAATCCCAAAAATGAAAATGAAGGTCCCCTATTTAACCCTTGTTATAGACTACACCAAAAACACCATCAAAACTACTTGCCTCCTTACGGGAGATAATAACACATCCCTCCTTGAAGCTGACACCATTTCATTCACAATCAAAGTAGCTTTGTTAGATTTCGGTGCTTGAAAGCCTCTCTTCTTTCGGTTACTTTCTTCTCTTCGATTTTAAGGTAAGAAATTCAAATTTCTTGCTGCAATTAAATGGCATCATTAGTATTAAAATAGTTTTCAAAATTTCTAAAAGATTTGGAGTGATTTCGAAAAAAAATTAGGGCTTTTTGGGGAAAAATCAGGGTTCGCCGGAACGGCCGTCCCGGAACAGGAACGGTGCCCGCCGTTCTGGAATCCCTAACAAAACCGTTCTCTCTCCTATGACGTGGCGGACCACCGTTACGGCCGAGACTTAGCCGGGAAATGGCACCGGAACGGCCTCGGAACGGCCAGAACAGCCGAAACGGCTCCGGAACGGAAAAATAATAAAAAAAAAATTGGGAACGAGACCCTTGATGGACAAAAAAAAACTGAAAAAAAAGAAGGAAAAAAGAAAATTGGGATCGGGATAATTGGTAAAAGAAGAGTGTAAATTATTTTTTAAATTAAAAAAAGAATTTAAATTAAAAAAAGAGTTTAAATTTTTTATTTATTTTTTCATAGAGTTAAGTGCTAATTTTTTGGATAATGAGACCCCACAACTCCCTCTAATTTCATATTAATAGGAGAAAGTAACAATAAGTAAAACATGACTATAATTTATGTATTTAACGAAAAGAAAATAGCAATCATACATATATATTTTTTTTACAGAAAATAACAAATAAAATTGAAGACTGTGATTCTTAAAAAATGGAAAACAAATATCAAAATAGAAATAATAAATAAAAATAGAAAATTCGAATATATATAATATTAAAATTTTATTTAACTTTTTTTTTGTTTTCAATATTCTGTTACTTAAATATAATTATTTTAATTTGAAATTAATTCATCACATAATATTTTTTACTACAAATAAACATAAATATGTGTTTTTATTTTTGTTTTTAATTTTTTTTAATGCAAGGTTGTTGTAATTTTGTTTTTTTAATTTTTAATAATTTTAGCATATTATTGTATTGTAATGTTTGTATTAAAACTATATTTGAACTATATTATATTTTTTAGCATTTTAATTAAAAAAAACTCTGTTCTGGCCGCGACGGAACCGCGACGTGGCAATGGAACTGGAACGGCAGTGTCCGCGACAGCCGACTGTTCTGTGCCGGCGAGCCATGGGAAAAATGGAAAAGATGTGTTTCGTGTTGATTTCTTGTTCTTGCATGCATCATCTATGTTAGTAGTGGGTAGATACAAGTTTTATTGGCTAAATACATTAAAAATTTCGGATTTCAAAAAGGGGTTTCAAGAAAAATGAATTTTTGAACTTTTATAGGTTGCATGTGTAAATCGAAATATTTTTGGGCCAAATCTGTAATTTTCAGAAGTTAGTCCTAAAATCAAAACTGTTTTCCAGCATTTATTTAACAAAAATTTCGGATTTAAAAAGGTTTTGCAAGAAAAAGTGATTTTTGAACTTCTAGTGGTCTTGCATGTATAGATCTAGAGATTTTGGGGTGAAATATGTAATTTTCGAAATTTCTGCATAAAGTAACTTTTTAAATTTGTTTTCTGCATTTATTAAAGTAAAATTCCAGATTGTTAGGGGTTTTTCATGAAAAAGTGGATTTTGAACTTCTAGTGTGGTTGCATGTGTAAATCTTGAAACTTTGGGGTCAAAACTGCAATTTCCGAAAAATCTCTCATTTCTAAAGTTTGAATCTGTTTTCCAGCAAGTATTAAATGGGGAGAAGTTTTCTTTACGAAGGTTTCAAAGTGATTAAGGTTATATTAGAGTTTTGTATTTTTTTTAAATTAAAAAGGGGGTTTTCTAGTTTTTTATTTCAAAAAAAATCAAAACTTTATGAAAATTAAAAAATGATTTCAGAAATTAAAATTTGGATCAGTTAGGAGTTCTAGAATTTAATTTGAGAATTTTTGGAATTAGTTTGCTATTATTTCGAAATTCGGACATTTTGCATGTCATTTATTATGTTTTGTGCTTTTATTTTCACGTCCTTGATTATATAACTATGAGTGATGAGATTTGGGATTTTGTACATTAATTTGCTGCATGGATGTGTTTATTACTGCTGCAATTTATTGGAAAGAATTATTACCTAGAAGTGGTAATAAGTTCATTAAATGAAAGGTGAAAAATGGGTGCTTGCTTTACAAGCATGGTTTAATATTAAATGGTGATGTTTTAATGTGTGGCTGCATGTGTGTGCTGAGTACATGTGTGTGTGTGTGTGCTGAATGTGTATGTGGTGTGTGCCGTGTGTGGTTGTGTGCGTTTATGTATGTGAATTTGGGGATTTTTGCCCAAATTATAAATATGGGGTAAATTGTGATATTTGTGTGATTTTGTGGCACTTGATTGATATTTGTGACGTTATGTGTGGGTCATAAGCATGATTTTTAAAAGTTGCATTTAACGGTTTTTAAATTGAAAGATTAATGGAATACCGAGTAATAAACAACTCGGATATAGAGGGCCGGTATCCAACTAGGATGAAATGTTGTGGTTTGATCCGACTTAGTGAAAACGGGCTCGTAACAGGTTTATTATTCAGGTACAGAAATTAATCTTTCACGAATCCGATAAAACCAAAAATGTGTTTTCCACGATTTTCATAAAAAAGGGATTTTAGTCATTTTGCATAAGTACGTGTTTATGTGTGAATGACGTGTTTTCGTGAATTATGCGATTTACCGATTGTCTTGTGTTGGTTTGGAATGTGGGTAAGAATGGATAATATAACTTATTTTCAAAGTTCGATATTTAATCGGATTTCTTACTGAGCTTATAACTCATCTAGATGTCTTTTAATTGCAGGTAGTAGTGCTAGTAACCCTCAACCGGGATGGATCGAGTAGCGGATCGAGGTCTTGCCCGGGTTTTTGTTGGAAGTTGTACGAGGATCTATGAACGATGCTATATATATTTTGGGTTTTCTTTTGGTGATGTAATATTAAACCTAACTATTTTCTTTTCGTACCTTTTAAACTCATTACCGATATGAATCGTACTTAACTCCTATTATAATATAGTCCGTTTCGTAATTTTGATAAGTCGAGGTGAACAAACGGAATCCACCGATATGTTCGAAGAGTTCTTAAAGAACCAAAGAGAATAATCTCATTATTTTATTCAAAATTCGTCCTATAAAATAAGCCAAATTGGCAACATATTTATAAGTGCTAAAAAGATTCATTTTTCACAAGGAAAATGACTCCTACCTAAACTATAATAAGGAAACTTGTAAATAAGCAAATCCTAACCATAAAAGACTCTAAAATTATAAAAACATAATAAATACTAAATTAAAATCGTGAATAAGTAAATTACCAAAATAATTGTAAATTAAAATCGTAATTTTGCTATTTTCATGCCTCCACTAGTAATTTTCGAATTATTCACCAAAATAACCTTTCCAAACTCTGATTTCTTCTAGAACCGAAAACCGATAGGGATAGTGTAACACTCGAACGAAAAAACTCCCCTCGAAACTTGCGAAAAACCTCCCCTAGAAACTTGTTTCCAAACGAAGCCTTTATTCGACTAAAGTAACCTAAGAAAGTTTTTCGAAAACGCAAACTTCTAAATACCCAAAAGAAGATATTTTTGATAATTGCTTTTTTGCCCCAATCCAAAGTTTTAAAATTGCACATAGATCCTTTTGCTTCCGCTAAGTATATAGTATTCCGATAAACCGGTTCGACTGATCGCCTGACTTTAAGGGGGTGCTACAACATATAAAAATCTTGTAAATGTATAAAGCCTTCTCTTGATAATTGAGTAGTAATAGAATCATAGTAACTCTTCAAGTTTCATCAAGGTGAACATCAGTGTGCACTGTAAACGGTTCGATCATCAGAGTGCATATCTGCGACTCGACTAGACAGTAGACAGTTACAGCCTTATTAGTGCATAGACACAATTAATGAAATATTTAAGTAATTCTACAAGACGAAATGCAGCCTCACTTACAGATATTTCTTAGGATCCTGTTGAACTTGTAGATCACATCATTTGAAATTGTAGTGCAGCTCAGAAAAAAAAGTAACGGTATAAAATCGAAAAAACAAGTACAGCCAATAACCAACCAAGACGTTTCATAAGCTTTACCAGTGCATGTTCCTTGGGCTTCAAGTTGAAACGGGGACAACCAGTAATATCGATTTTGGCTTCTGACAAAGACAAGCCATTTCCAAGACTAACCAACTTAGGTAAGTATTGAAGTACAAGTCTGCTTAATTCAATACGAATTACGCCGTTATCGGTGTAAATTGCTCTCTCCTTTTCTTGTTTAACTATTTCCTCCACAGATTCACAGTCTTCAACCACAAGTTCCTTTAAGTTGGGAAGGCATGGAACCATGGATTCCCAGAGTATGAACTTTAGCTTATGACACGTGCTGACTGTTAGATGTGTAAGTGCCGGGAAATAGCTTGTCCAGATTGAAGGTGCTTCGCATACGTGCTTCAGTTCCCACAAATAATAGATTCTTAAATGTTCTAGACATGGAAACACGTCTCCAGCTGAGCTGCTGTCTACAATCGTTTGTATTTTTGGGCACTCTCTCAATAGGAAGAACTTTAGTAACCGGAAATTGGAGATCCGGAATTCTGACAAACTCTTGACTTTCATGTGATGATCCAGGTAGAATGATGTGGCACGTGCAAGTACATTTTGAATCATTTGAGGTACCTGATTAGCATTGCCATTCACAAATCTCAAGGACTGTGTTTCTTTGCGGAATAGTTGTTCTACCTCATCTGGTACTCGAGATGCTATTCGTTTTACATCACAGCCAACAACGAAGCAGAATTTTCGTAAGATGCCCTTCTTCCAAGAAGGGCTTGTCTGAATGAAATCCTCAAACATTTCTACTTTTGGAAAGTAGAACTGAAGATGACTCAGATTCTCCAACTCAGCAACGTTCTTTATTATCGGTTCGGCATCGTTAGTCCACCGGTGATCTTCAGGGTGCACTGAAATATTTAGAGCTTCGAGATTCTTGATCTTGGATAAGAAAGTGGGAGAAATCAGTTTAGATGGCAAATGTACAAATTCACTCTCATCATCAGGCCCATAAAAGGACAGCTGCAAATGCGTAAGAAGCGTAAGTTCACCAATTTCATCGGGGAGGTCATATAGTTCACTGCCCGACAGATCCAGCACTTCCATATCGCTGAGATTCCCGATTTCGGATGGAATTTTCGCTAGACGAAAACAGTTTCTCAACATAAGAACCTTAAGTTTGGAAAGCTTGAAAAGTGAACTAGGCAGGATCTTGATTTTAGTATCCGACATGTCCAGAAAAATCAGATCGGGCATGGTGTTGAAAAATGAGTCGGGAATCTGAGTTAAGCGGGTGTTTTTTTGGAGGAATAAAAAATAAGGATTAGAGTAGTCTGGTTCCTCTGGTAGCTGACACAAGTCACGTTCTACGAGATTTATCACTGAGGAATTCTCAAGTTTCCCCGATGTGGATGGACGATTGGGAATTGAGATAGTTTTACCATCATCCAACTCTACACACTTAATAGAGTTATTCTCCATCATAAACGAATAACTTTCGTTTTCTGGAATAGACGTACTGTAAACTTTATGCGTTTCCTGTGAATTGGAAGGGCTCAAGGACTCCTGTTTTGAAACTGATTCAACTGCTTGCTGTGAATCATGAAAACCACTCACAGGATTCGCTTTCAACCGTGCAAGCGCCTCCTCCTTATTTGTCGAGAAGGATGTTCCTCCATGCCCGACAGGGCTAGTTTTAAATTTCTGATCTTTTTTTGTAGGTATGACTACAGGAATTGCTTTGTCGTACTCATATTCATCTTTGACGGGGCAATGCTTTAGGATTTTGGCAGTAGAGTTGTCGAAATGTTCCGACTCCTCTGTTAGCGAGTCACTCTTTCCAGCTTGTAGTTTCTCAAGGAGACCACTCCCTTTATATTTCAATTCTGTAGCATCCATTGACCATCTGTCTAATATCTTTGGTACACGTCTCCCCCCCATATATACTTTATTCATCCGTTTACGAACGTATAATAGTCGGTTACCCAAACAATGGTAATATTTTTCAGTACATTCTGCTATACTCTGATGGTTCTCGAGGTTAGGTTGCTCACATGCTATTGGATTCCTCTCGATAAAAGCATCTGCAAGTTGAAGAGCAAAAACAAGAAACGACTTAGTTTTATCTGACATATATTTATGTGAAACAAATAATCTAGAATTAGCAAGCTCATAATGAAGTTTGTCTCCTTTTGCGCATATTTAGAATTGGACTATTTTGAATGACCATTTCAAGTAAAAAGTTTAGTCGTTAATTAGGTAAATGATTTGATGTTTATATCTTCAATACATCCTCACGTGCAAGAAGATCAATTTAGTAATTATAACTGTAGTAGAAGAACCTTCGAGTCAGTTTAACCTTACAGATATTTTATTTGACATGTGATATGGTTGATATATATATATATATATATATATATATATATATATATATATATATATATATATATATATATCACCTTACGCTAGCAATAACGAGGGTTTGTATTTCATATTTTGTTCTTAATTGAATTGCGTAGGAATACAATAATTTGGTTTTGAATATTAAAACTACAATCCCAGCATAATTAATGGATAATTGGGTGATTCATAAATGCATAGGGGAAAGATAAAATCATATACTTGTTTTTATTTGATAATCTTCATGATTTCACTTGCTTTCTGGATAGTTTGCATATGTAGTTTATTTTAGTTTTAAGATATAAACAATAACTTCATAGTTAGTGAAAACCCCCAACACATTAGCATATATTAGGATGGGTATACTCTCATTTTACATATGAGTGAGATATGTAAAATTTTAAGTGATTTGTTTAACTACCCTTAATTATTAGTATGAAATATGCCACTCCAATCGCACCACGTGTCCCGATAATATAATTGGTTTTTGAATGATTTGTGTATTGTCTAAAACACATTATTACAAATATTTAATATTTAAAATATAAATAATAAATTTTATGAGAATTGTCTTTTGTACCCCTTGTATTTTTATAAATTTTATATCTTATTATTGCTGAATTTGTAAAGTCAATTATACATTTATTCGTAAAAATCATTAAACCACTCGTCAAAAAATGAATCCTATTGGATTTTTAATGATTTGTGTATTATTTAAACCACCTTATTACAAATATTTAATATTTAGAAACATAAATAATAAATTTTATTGCGAATTGTCTTTTGTACCCCATGTATTTTTACAAATTTTAAATCTATTTATTGTTGAATTTGTAAAGTCAATTATACATTTATTCGTAAAAATCATTAAACCACTCGTCCAAAAATGAATCCGATATGATTCGAACTTGTAACCACCTTAAAACATACAAGAATACTTACCATTGAGACACAACATATTACTGAAAATTACCTAACAATAAGCATATATATCACAACGCTACAGTGTATAATGATTATAACACTTATATAAATAATGTTCAATAAATTACTAATTCTCATATAATAATAATAATTATATATTAAAAATATCCAATATTAACATATCTATATATAATAAGTTTTAAAAATCTAAGGAAATGCATATCAACTCGTGTAATTTAAAAATGAATTTCGAAAGAATTTGAAGTTTGAATTGAATCTTAAATCGTAAGATTTGAATCAATTCACCTCACGTGTGTTCAATTCGAAAACAATATTCAAATATTTGAAACGATTCAGCTCAAGTCATTTCAGTTTGTAGACAATATTCGAATATTTGAATCGATTAAACTCAACAATTTACATAAACGTATTAATCGAAGTAACTATGTATAGTTAAAGTTTAGTATTTTTTTTATTGAATTTTATCGTAAAAAGAATAAAACTTAATTTGTAAAAACCGTAAGACCGTAAGATTTAATAGATTCAAATATTATGGTTAGATTAAATCTTAAGATTTATGATTTGATTCTTATAATTTTTATAAATTAAGTTTTTTTTTTTTAATTAAAATTGAATTAAAAGGATATTAGACTTTTTAATTATAAATAGTTAACTCGATTAATACGTTCTTGTCAATGGTTGAACTTAGTCGATTCAAATCTTTGAAACATATTTACAAATTGAACGAACTTGAGCTTAATCGATTCAAGTCTTACAATTTGAATCTTACATATGTCAGAATTAAATTTATTAATTTATATGATAAAATAAAATTAAATAGAAATTAGACTTTAATTATAAATAGTTACTTCAATTAATATGTTCTTATAAATTATTAAGCTTCTTTGATTTAAATATTTGATTTACGTTTACTAGTTGAAAGGATTTGAGCTTAATCAATCAAATCTTATTATTTGATTAAACTTAATATTAAAAGAAAAATCATAATATAGTATTTTCAGTATATAGTTTATTTTAAAGTAAGAAAACTAATTGGAATGAGTTATAATCTATTTTTTTCTTCTAAATAAATATCTTATTTTATTTTTTATTCGAATTTGTAACACTATCGTTTTAATAAGTCGGCTTGTATTAAGGCATGCATTTGTTTATATTTAATTGAGTATTCTTTATATTTTTCAATAGTGGAGTTTATTAATTTATATAATTAATAATAGATGTTTGGGGATATTGCCGGAGTTCTTTATACTTTTTTTTAAACTGTATTATATTAAATTTGTTAATAATTTATTTAACATTATTTAAATACTTATATTTATTATCACTTTTACATTGTGTCTTGCCAATATAAAATGATTCTTAGATGTGTTAATATAAGTTATTGTGCCCTGATGGTTAGTAGTGTTGAAAGTAGTGAAAGGTTTGAACTTCAATTCCCAACTAATGCATGCATGCATTTTTGGGCAATTATTATTCATCAAATGAAATTGGGTCACCGAGTTGACCCGACTTCATCAAATGAAATTGGTCCCGGGTCACTGAGTTGACCCGGCTCGAATCTTTAAAATATATTTAAATTAATTATTTACTAAAATATAGTCAGGGGTAACTTAGACAATTGAATATTAATCTATTTTGTATTAGTTTAATAAAGAAAATAATCGAAGGACACTTTGGTAAAATGCTTCGATTTTTTGTAACACCAGCCATGTTATTTTCCTAGGATCCAGATTTAATCTTAGAAAATTAATGATGATTGAAGCATATCTCATATAAGTTTAGAACACGGGGTATCTCACCCTAGACAAATCCTAAACAATAACCTCATAACTAGTGAAACCCCCCAACACATTAGCATATATTAGGATGGATATACTCTCATTTTATATGTATAATTATAAGTGATATGTTTAAATACCCTTAATAATTATATTACATTAACAAACCCTATTTCCCCTCTCACACTTCTTCACCGGCCGTCTCTCTCTATTTTTCTCTCCCCTGCCACCATACCACGCCTCCGTCCCACCTCCGCCTTGCCTCACGTCGAGAAGCCGACCTCCTCTCTGTCGACTTAAAGAACGTCACCGACCAAGTAAAAGGAGGAGAGCCGCGGAGACGGGAGCTACATGTCCTCCATCAAAACCTTCAAATCCAAATCGAGAAGCATCTATCCTCCATTTTCGACGATATTCTGAATCTTTTCGATTCCAAGCCCATCGGATCTGCCGCCTGCATGTATGTTTTTTCTCTATTTTCTCTATTATGTCCTGTTTCCTTTTAATTAGTTTCTTATCTTTTTATTCTATTTAATTTTGTTCCATTTATTTGGAATTTGAAACTAATCGATTATGGTGATATGTTGAAGTTTTATAGATTGATGAAATGTGCATATGATTTTGCAATTTTTATTATATTTGGATACAATCGAATTATGAGTATGACTTTAGGTTAGAATAGCAAACTCAATTAAGGTTTGAGATGTAATATTTTTTGTGATTATGAAATTGAATTTAGTGTAATTCAGGTTGCTCGATTCTTAATGTGATTTAAGTTTATGTTTGTCGGTGATCTGGAGTTTTCTTTTCATTTCTCTTTTTTCGGTAAAAAAAATGATTATTGGCATTTATTTGATGTAATTTTGCGTTCGTATGCAAGGCATTGCCAATGCTGACATAGCCCACAACAAGACGAAATGGAACAACAAGAAAAGATTGGATTTTTTTTGCATAGTTGTGTTGAATTTTATGATAGATTTCGCTTGAATTTGGTTGTTTTTGTAGTTGTTTTCGATACATTTAGTAGTTTTCGATAATTTTTAGTTGATTTCGTTAATTTATAGTTGATTATATTTTTGATAAACTTGTAACTGTAAACAAATATTTTTGTAAACAACTATTTTGTTTAGTTGTTTTACAATTTTCATATAGTTGATTATGGGGTAAACGGATAAAAAAAATAGTTGTTTTCAGTAATTTTGTAGTTAATTATGAAAAAAACAAATCGAAAAAACTGAAAATTTAAATAAATAAATAAAAATTATAGTTGATTTCGGAATATTATAGTTGATTTCAGAAATATTGTAGTTGATTTTAGAATTTTTTTAGTTAATTCTGACGAAAAAAACTAATTTTTTTTAATCCTTTTTAAATAAATAAACGAAAAAAATAAAAAGAAAATAAAAAGAAAAGAAAAATGCACTAAAATGGTGTGTAATGGATAGTGAATAGAGGTAGGTTAAATATAGAAATAAGGGAAGGGATGGGTCTATCTATCACTAATAAGTGAAAATGGGCTGGACCCATCCTTATTTAAAAAATGCTAGAGTAGCTCCCAATTTACTTGTGCTTGGTATGACCGTAAGTTGTGATAATTTAGTAAATATTCTTTGTGGGTTCGACATCCGACTAATTTGAGTCCACTTTACTACTTGCTACAATACATACACTGGCGTGTGGAATTTTAGCAAAAGATATTCAATTTCAAACACCCTTGAATATAATCATGGATTCGCCACTGTCCTAAGATTATTTACCCCACGTATGAGCTTTGGTAAGGAGGAGCATGATAATTGAGTCCTTAAGGGCTTGGGGGAAGGACCAGAGAGCATTATATGGTCAAGATTGTGATTTGTAGAACCTTGTGATCACAGATGATGTTTAACGGCCATTGGATCAGACATCACAGGCATGATGAATTGCGCATGTGGAAGCTTCTAGTAGGAGAATCCAACTTCCAC